GGCTTCATTTCCAAACCGTTCCTCATATCTAATGGCTCCAGACAAGGATGCCCCCTATCCCCACTACTTTACATCTTATCACTGGAACCCCTCACCCAACTGATACGGGATGAACCAAATATACATGGCGTTAAAGCCAAGAGCCGGGAATACAAATTGTCCTTGTTTGCGGATGATATCCTACTCACCTTGGAACAACCGCACATATCTTTACCTAATTTCCACAAAATCCTTTCCCGATTTAGCGCTTGCTCCTACTATAAATTGAACATCTCTAAAACTCTTGCCCTAAGCATTAATGTCCCGATCCAGGAGATGACTACCCTCAAAGCTAATTTCCACTACGACTGGAAACATGATCACATCAAATTCTTAGGTATTCTCTTCACCCCCTCCACGGCCGCACTACACAAAGCAAATTACACCAAACTCCTCACAGAAATTAGAGCTCTACTGCACAGCTGGAAGGGTAAATATGTATCCTGGACCGGCCGGATAGCATCAGTCAAGATGGTGATCCTACCTAAAATCCAATACATGTTCCGCACGCTCCCTCTCAAAGTCTCCAACAAATACTTAGAGGACCTACAACGTACCATAAACTAATACATATGGGACTATAAAAAACCAAGAGTAGCTCTAAGCACGATGTCTAGAACTTATGCTCAAGGCGGGATGGGCCTCCCAGACATAAAAAGATACTACAGATACTACAGGGCAACACAGGACCCCCTTGACATGGGTTGAAATTGAGAGAGCCCATGCCGGGGGTCTCTCGCTCCCTACTCTAGCCTGGCTGCCGGTGAGCCAACGACCCAAACCGTCGGAACTACTACCAATAACTGCACTAACCCTCTCCATATGGGACAGCTACCGCAAGAAGAGGGGGGCAACCCCTGGCACCAGCAACCCCAATAGAAGCGATCAGACAATTTATCCCAGACTTCAATCATAAACTCTGGCTCAGGCATGGCATTTTCACACTATCGCAAGTGTTGCGAGGCGACAGCCTCAAACCCTTCCCTGATCTCTGCAATGAATTCAAATTACCCGCAACAGCGACCTACTCCTACATCCAACTGCAATCCTGGGTAAACCTCCAAAAACCGCGACACACCGCAAGCTCACCTAATCCATACTGGCTCAGAATAACAGAGATTTGCACGAAGACGAAGCCGGCAACAAAACTCATCTCCTTGGTCTACGCTTCCGAAAACACGGATGCTCCTGCTAAACCACCGTCCTTCAAAGTGGCATGGGAACGTGATCTAGGGCACAAACTCACAAACGAGCAATGGATAGACATATTTCGGGCCAAACAAAAACTGACCCTCTGTGCATCCCGTACGGAACTTTCATGCAAACTGATGTACCGGTGGTACCTGGTCCCCTCGAGACTTAAACATAGCTACCCTTACACGCCTGACACACGCTGGCGCTTCCAGGGGGACCATGGCACCTTCATACACATATGGTGGCAATGCCCACATCTAAAACAATACTGGTCACAAGTCCTGGACCTAGCAATACGATGCACCCACATGCGTATATCCCTGCTACTGGAACTGTTCCTGCTACTTCTGCTCCCTCAAACGCCTAACATTCATACTAAATATCTGCTATATCACATCTGTATGGCGGCCCTCACCGTCATAAGTAGACAATGGAAACAAACAACTGCTCCAACGATCCACCAATGCATCGCAGCTGTGGAAACAACTAAGACTTATGAACTCGCAGCACGGAAAACAAGATGGAAAGACTCCTATTGGACCACAGCGTGGACTATATGGGATAGCAATAAAGCAAGCTGAACCGACAATAACACGCTACCTGACCTGGATGACACACCTCCCTGATTGGAGGTAATATGAAAGACATCACACTCACATTGGCTGACTTGCACTCACTCACTCACTTACCTACATACCTGTGCCACACCTACATGCCTACACCACACACACGCCCTGCTACATATACACCCTCACACCAACACATCCCACACACACGCATATTACCCTTCCTCCGACCCCTGCCCCAACCTACCTTACCCTCTTGTTGAACAACACATACTGTACAAGTAGTGTTGACCCGCATGCCCAAATTATATCCTATCCAAAGTGGATGTACATTGCCCATGCACACACGCCAAAGTTAGGATGTTATGAAACCTTGAGTGCTTCGGACATGCTGGGCCATCGGGTCTCTGTATTATCATGTATTATCATGCATTGTCCTGTATTATCTTGTATTATCTAGCCTCATTATTATACCCATGTTACTCCATGATAACCATGTCATTTTGTGCGACAAACTTCTTTTTCTTTGACATAACCGACCCTCTTGCCTTCTGTATCCTTTTCCGCTTCCTTTTATTGCAAAATAAAAATTGTCAAATTCAAATAAAAAAAAAAAATCTAAATATTGTGCCACTACTGTTCTTTCAGTATCTCACCTGTCTCCCTCTCCCAGCGCGTGATTAATTTTAGGGGGAGGCAGTCACCTCCGGTAAGTAACAGTCTGTAAAGCATCGACACTCCCCTGGAGAGGTGCATCCTAGAAGAGCAGAGAGCCTCATATTGTGTCCGATCCGTGTGTATTAGGGATTTTAATCTGATTGAGGCGAAATAATTTTTCATTTGAAAGTAATTGAAGCGGTCTATACGACTAGGGATGTTCTCTGAATATATTTCCAGTAAAGGTTTCAGGTGTTCAGGTGTGCTCCAGTCTCACAGTCGAGGCCAGTCTAAGTTCTGGAAGCCCCGTAGGTCTGCCGGTGTAAAGCTCCCTGTGAAATCTTATCTAATCTTAATAATATAGGTGTCAGTGGATTAGGACTTGTGTTAAGCTGAGTAGTAAAACATAGGGAGCACGAGACCCTGAGGGTAGCATCAATCAATGGGTTATCTGTTTTTATCTGACTGAGTGACTGACATACCCCCCAACCAAAGCTCTGAAGATGCCGCCTGCCTCAATTCAAAGTCCACCTAGAGCTTCTGGGATGCGTGGACATGCCAGCCCACCATTCTGTTCAGATGATTAGCGTGGTAGTACAAATTATTTGCAGGAACACCCACTCCCCCCATATTTTTGGACAAAATTACCTTAGATCTCCTGATTTAAATCACCTCTCTCGCCCAGACGAATCTATAGATCGCTGTCATCAGTGATTGGAAATATGCTTTAGGGAGTACCTCCAGGATAGCATGAAATAGGTACAGAAGGCGGGGTAAGATGTTCATGTTTACTGCATGCGGCTAAACCAAGAGATGTATTGGTTTGTCCAGCAGTGCAAGTCAGCCTGTACAGTGTCCAGCATGGGCTTGTATATAAGGCAGAGAACCAAGCCCAGATTTCCTCATTTATACCCTGGTTCCAAAACAGTTTGCAGCAAGCATTTCTGGATATAAGAACAGCTGCCATTCAATCTGCACAGACCGCTCTACACCCTGGGTCGGCTAGTAAATCTTCATATAAAATTAGAAAGTGAAAGCATTGGTATATAACTCCTCCTCGAAAGACTCTGCAGTCTTCTCAGATTGATGAAGTAAAGATTCTTATGGAAAATTAAGAAGTGACAAAAGAGAAAGATTCTTGCAAAAGCAGGAAATCCAAGTAATTTTCATTCCATCCTAAATTAAGGTATCTAATGTTAAAAGAATGGAATTATCCTTCTAAAAAGCCCATGTGATTAAGAGTGGATGTCAGGTACCGCCAGTCCACCCTGTAAAATGCCTTTTCGGTGTCAGTGGACAGAGGTACGAACTCCCTCCCAGCCTTAAAAAAGGCGTGGATGATATTCATGGCTCTGATAGTATTGTCTCTGGCCTCTCTACTGGGGACGAAGCCCATTTGGCCCAGATGACTCCGGTCCAGGTCCTCTCTAGGAGCCTGCCACACTTATTGGAGTACTCATAGAAGAAACGGTTAGACTTCCTCAAGGTGTGGAGTAGATTTTGCAAGATAATGTCAGAAGTTTCCTCATTTATACCCTGGTTCCAAAACAGTTTGCAGCAAGCATTTCTGGATATAAGAACAGCTGCCATTCAATCTGCACAGACCGCTCTACACCCTGGGTCGGCTAGTAAATCTTCATATAAAATTAGAAAGTGAAAGCATTGGTATATAACTCCTCCTCGAAAGACTCCGCAGTCTTCTCAGATTGATGAAGTAAAGATTCTTATGGAAAATTAAGAAGTGACAAAAGAGAAAGATTCTTGCAAAAGCAGGAAATCCAAGTAATTTTCATTCCATCCTAAATTAAGGTATCTAATGTTAAAAGAATGGAATTATCCTTCTAAAAAGCTAAAAAAAAAAAATGTAAGACCATATTTTACTATTAAAGAGTCTGACAAAAAAAATTGTAGATGTACCAATTGCTCAGTTGGGGAAGAAAACCACCCTACCTATAGAAATGTCCTTTCTTCTGTAGTCCATTCTCCCAGAACTGCTTCAGTTCTTTTCAAAGAAGTTCAGACTGTGCTTAATAAATGCAGAAGAAGAATTACCCATAACAGCCATTTATGGGGGGGGACTTATTCAAGGCTGTTTTTAGTCTAGAAGGTTTTTTGTAGAGGTTGGATTCACCCTCTTCCTCTGAAAGGTCAAAAACATTCTCTGGTAGGAGGTATGTTCTCCCATAGGCATCCATGCCATATGTACGGCCTTCTTCCAGATTTTTGGGAAACACAGCACCCACAG